TTTATTCTTTGCAGCCTGTCAGTTCCATTTGTGCGCAGACACCCTTGACAAAAACAAGGATTAGAGCTTAAGCCCTGTAGGTATAGCTTATTCTTCGTTTATATAGGGGAAGCCTGTTTATATTTACGTAAGCCGAGTATCGAAAATAGACCGGTCAGTCTTCTGATCCCCACTTTAATCCTGATTAATAATTAATAGGTTATTTATGATATTTAGAAGCGGAATTAATTTAGACTGATTTATCATATACAAAATAGTTTGTGAAAACTAATGTGTATCTTATTAAGCACGCCTAATCGGATTAAAAAAATAACTTGAAAGTGAGATAGTTTATATTTCTTCTTTTACCTTCTAAAATAGCTATTAGATTTTGACTTAAAAAAAAACAAGATATTTGTAAAAGTTAAACTATTCATTTCATAAACATTTTTCTAAGAAAATTCATAACATTAGTCAAAAATACTTATAAATTCCGATTAATAAGGTCGACAATGCGTCCTATATTGGTGTTTTAACTAATATAGTTGATACGATATAAAAACTTTTACTGTATCAAACGCTATATAAGTTAAATTTATTTTAATTCCGGCCCGACGTTTAATTTTTCCCTACTGCAAGACGTAGGTGATTCGGGCCGTAGTTAATATAAGTTTATCTAATATATATCGCGTTTTAAACCGTTAGAGTGTGTTAAACTTCGAATTAATTCAATCACCTTCCAACCGTACATAAAAAGTTTATCGAAAATGTTCGCGTCTTACTTATTAATGCATCCTTTTTATTATTTAGCCTTAATTGATTTGTCGAAGCCGTTCGTATCCTTGCTTCTCAATTACGTGAGTATCGAAGACGCCTTCCGTTTTATTTATGGTCGGCCAATTGATTGAATTAGTAGCCCCTAAGGCGCTTCGGGGAACTTGCTTTATGTCGCTGTGAATTTACTCACAAGCGCCACTACAATATTTATTGGAGTTTTTGTTTTTCCTTTATTGGTCTTATTTGGTGAGATAATGTTACTTTAACAGTGATGTATTAATTAATTTATAGTTTCAGTGCCTCAATAGTTAAAAACATTGCGTTAAGCGGGACTAAACCTAAGACATCATTAAACATCAAATAGTAGAAACAGATACAAAAATGTGTCTGTTCCTCACTTTGTGGACACCAGATTTTTTGATAGCCTTAGAAAATTGTTAAATACGACTGAACATGAAGTTCATACATGGACTATCAATATCAAGTCTTAAAAGATCTTTTATTACTGTGATGTTGACAAAGAATCCGATGTTTGTCCCCACAAGGTACCCCGTGATCAGATATACAAAAGCATGACGTTGTGACTGATACGTAAGGGCATGCTATCTGGCTAGATCAATTATTATTTTACTGAATCTATAGATAAAATATAGAGTGGGTAGGTATTGGCAAAACGTGTTGCCTCATCGGATAGGCGAGGCTCGAATTCCCGACCCGACCCCACACATACGTATACCACATTACTACCTCAATGCAAATCTATCGTTTGTGGTAAATTCCACTCGACTCCTATCACGGCGCACGTGTTGTCATTTGCTAAAAATACATAGACACACGCACAGTTAAGTCGGGCAAACATTCTTATCGCGGTCCTGCAAACGGCTAGGCACGTGCCGCCGATGTGTATCGGCCTAAGAACGCTATAAGCCTCACCTGACACGAGTCCGAGTCGCTACGTGCTCGGAATACCTCGAAAGTTGCATGTTTATCTCGCGGAAATAAATAGAGGTGCATTTTATGCGATCGCTTTGCACGGAAGCTACTCTTTCGATCTTGAATGGATTTTTTATGGATTTATTGCTCAGTCGTGCGAGTTTGCGATTTGGATACTGAAGCAAATATTTTTGCTTCGTTAGTCTTTCAGTTTTTTTAATACTATTTAAATGATTAAGATTTCAAAAATTCTACTTTTTTTTATGATACAGGAGGACAAACAAGCACGGGGTTTACTTGAAGGTAGATGAAAACAGCCATATAACATCCGAACGAAATGCGATGTCGACCTATATTAGCGTTGGATATTCGGAAATCCACAAACTATAACCGATTAAACTCGATGGCTTTTTCATCTACCGACGGTGGTTTGCGACCCGGACGGAATTTCAATATTCCTACTACACATTTAACATCCTGATAAAACGTGGGGCCCGGTGGGGATCGAACCCAGAGCCTTTATTAACCATACATGTTATGGTCCACCACCGAGCCGATGAGAATTTTCTTTAGTTATGTTAATATGTAATAGTAGTAGTTAAGGAATTTCTTTTATGACATATAAAGACAGACGAGCATGAAGCTCAACTTGAAAGATATACCCTTACAGGGTATATTAAGATGTACTGTTAAATACTGTCTATAGTTTACGCGAGTAGTACACATTAAATAAAAGACCGTAACGGTTTAAAATACGATATATTAGTTAAATTTATTTGAAAATGATTTTTAACTACGGCCCGACTTAAAAATCAAATAAGTTTAACTAACTAATATATCGCGTTTTAAACCGTTAAAGTGTTTTCTTGAAATATGTACTGTTGAGCTATTTTTTGCTTTGGACACACGGACATGCATACTACAATCGAAGAACAAACTTACACTTCACGCCTATTGGGGAAGGTGGTTCATGACGGAAGGAATATCAATATCCCTACCACCTTTTCAGTCGAAATTTTTAAAAGTAATACAATTATTTAGAAATAAGATCTAGGTGGAAATTGAACTTTGAACAGTTGTAAATTAGCTATTCAGTGCTGCCGTTGCATCGACGAGCCCGTTAAAAGATTGTGAAAGAAGTAATACTGGTTCTAAATAGTTTTAAGCTTTGACCTAATTAACTGTGTTCCATTAATATTCATTGATAATTCCAGGTCAATGAAGACATAACCGTTGTATTGTTACACATTAAGATGCATGCACTATTCACTTATACGGAATGATTAATAGAATATTCCGGGTTATCTCCGCTTGGCTCACTTCATGAATATTTCAATGAAATTGAGATAATGAAGCCCTCCTTTGTCCCATGCCGATAAGTCTATTACGGTGAACGACAACGGATCTCATTATTAAATAATAGCTTTTAATAGTGCATTAGCTTTTACTTAGCATATTTTAATTCTTGGATACTGATAAGTTCACATCTTCAAAGTTTATTTGATGGGCTCAATTTGGTACTTACGTAAGTAAATACTGTCTGTAGTTTACGCGAGTAGTACACATTTAAATCAACACTTTAACTCACCAGTATCGCTAAATACCAACTCCGACAAAACAGATGGCGCTAGCGAAGCAGTTCTTTATTTTGACGTTAGATCCCTCTATTTTTAGTGTCCCTGTGACCACGGCTGCTGCAAAGCATCCGAAAAGTCGGGCCGTAGTTAAGATAATTTTCAAAGAACTTTAACTAATACTAATATAAATCGCGTTTTAAACCGTTAAAGTGTTTTATTGAAATGTGTACCAATCACGTAAACTACGAAAGTGTTTAATTTAAAGCCCCCCTAAAATTAGAAGTCACTTAATATATTTTTACTAAGACCTTTTAGGTAAGGATGTATACATTTTTTTAGTACCACTGATTAAAAATTATAACTAAGTATGTAGTTCACTTCATGTTTCAATTATGGTGATATGATAACATGAGTGGAATACCAGAATCTCAATTCACAAGTTCCAACACGTGCGGAGTGTTCGCGGAAGATAAGACGAAATTGTAGCTATAACTTTGAACATCGAGTCATGTCTAGATAATGTTGACATCTGCTGACTTCTCTCTAATGCAGTTGCAAGTTCATTGGGGACAGCTATTTATCATATCTGCTAACACAATCATGAATTTAGTTTGTTTAGCATAGATCGTATTAGGTATTCAATTTTGCTGTGGCATTCATTTTATATAAATTAAAACCTTGAGAAGTCACCGTAAGATGCCATAAGAAATGTTTTTTATTCCGAAGTTTTTAAGCATTTACGCAAGAAATACACTTTTAATTAAAAAAATCACTTTAACGATTTAGAACGCGATATCTATTATTAAAACTTATTTGAAAATTTAAACTACGGCCCGACGTTTCGGATGCTTTGCAGCTGCCGTGGTCACGGGACTCCATCTCCCCGTGACCACAGCCTTACTAACGAATATATGGCGCGTTTCAAGCCGTTAGTGTTATTTTTAATGTGTACTACTCACGTAAACTAGAGACAGTATTTGATACACTTTTTATTATAATATTTTTAACGATTTAAAACGCAAATTATTTTAGTTCCCCGTGACCTACGGCTGTAAAGCATCTGAAACATCGGGTCGTAATTAAAAATGAGTGAGTAGTACACATTTAAATAAAACACTTTAACGATTTAGAACGCGATATATTTTAGTTAAACTTTTTTGAATTGTTTTTTTACTACGGCTAAACTAAACTGTATCGCGTTTTAAACCGTTAAAGTGTTTTATTTAAATGTGTACATACTCGCGGCAGACAATACGTTAGTTGTACATAATACTATTTTCTCTTAAAAAAAACTGTTGTAAAAATCTATGAAAGTCCTAACATAAAAAACGCGGTCACTACCCACGAATAGTAGCACAGAATTATTTATTTAAGCGTCATTCTTTATTTTTAATTTTGTACTACTATTGTTTTCTATACAAGCGAAACCAGAGCTCAAAGTTACGCTCCGGCTCGTCCGTTGTTCTCAGAAAAACCTAGATGGATTATCACAAAACTGCAACGGGAAAGTCGCTGAAAATTTAATTAGCTGTACCTGCAGTGATTTTCATAGAGCTCAAATTGGCAAGTTCATTGTACTGAGTCGGCGCGAAATTGAATGCATAGTGGGGGGCAGTAAACTTCACGACGTTTGACGGGGTGGTCGCGTCGCGCGTCGTCGTAGTCACGCCGCGATGATGAAATAACTACGTAAATATTATGATTACGCTTAGTGTTAAGTGATTGTGTGTCATTATGGTAGCGCGACCAAAAAGTGACAAGCGCGAATGGAACCAGTTAATTGTGATTTTGAATTTTTTGATCATCCTCCAAACGTCTGTTGGTAAGTACTGTTTTATTTTATATTTGTTACCAAAGAAGGAAGTATAGTATTGTTATTGGAGACTGACATAAGACAGGAATACTGTCTTTGATACAATTTTAACTTTGGTTAAAGTTTCTTAATACCTTTAAATTCGTAAATAAATAATTCATGGTTAAGAATGAGCTGATTAAAATTATTGATCAGTTGGTATACATTTTCTATTTGTAATTGTTAGGTATTAGTCCCAAGAAATAAACTGTATAATACTTGCAATATTTGCCACTTTTTAGGTTTTTAATATGCAGTAATTATATTTCATAATTAACCATGACAGTAATTTATTTCATAATTACCTACATAGGTATAACATAAAAATGTTTGTATGTGATATCCCGTTTCCCCTTGTGGGGCATAGGGCGAACATATGTGTACTTGTCCTGTGTCCGTTTCACTGATCGATTTTATTTACAAGCAAGTAGTTGATCAGACTTCTGTGCCCTACCCGACCGCAACAATTTACTGTTTTCCCCGGGATTGAACAGGATGTAACAATACTAGGCAACACGTTTAATTTGCTACAGAGGCGGTCTGAAATGTTTGTATAATACCTATTATTTGAAAGAAAAAAATAAACGGATTACATAATATAATGTCCTTTTTAACAAATAAGACTATGTTTAAATAAAACACTGTTAACGGCTTTAAACTCGTAATATGAACTTGACGTTAAGTTGGATGACAGATATTTTAATTCACGTTTTCGTGTAAACTACAGACAATACTTGACCATTATATAGTGTTTCCAAGTTAAATTATTTATTATTAAATGTGAATATTAATGAAGTAAAACCAAAAATCTTAAAGCCCAAAGTCGGGCGCCGCGAATAAAGGAACACCCAGCTGACACTATCGTCGGGAGAAGCGAGCCCGCTACCCTGCGCTGCGTGGCCGAAGGCAAGCCAAAACCAACAATCCAGTGGTACAAGGACGGCGCCCCATTAGCACCGACAGACCACCCACACCGGGTTCTTCTAGAAGATGGTCTCCTTTTTCTCAGGTTTGTATTTAAAAAATTGCCGCGTTTGGGTTTCAGTCTGTGGTTTTCCGAATATCCAAAGCTCCAATAGGTCGATAACACATCTCGTTTAGGTGTAATATGGTTAGGGTATTTCACCCTTCCATTAATTGCACCCAATGTTTGTCTGTCCTTCCCTATCATAAAAATAGTTTAAAAAAAATATAGTTATCGTTAACCGGTTTTCAAACCTAGGACCGTGCTAACACAATGTTAGATATTATATGCCATGAGTCATGGTTGCATTCTGGTTTGTATTATGTGATTATTTTAGTTGTATCTAGAGTTCGATTCCCGTGAAAACGAATGAAACTTTAGTTTTAATATTTTTTAGGGTTATGCGTGGTAAGAAAGAGAGTGACGAGGGCGTCTACTGGTGCGTCGCACGTAACACTGTCGGGGAAGCAGTTAGTAAGAACGCGACTCTTGACTATTGCTGGTAAGAATTTATTTATATAGCAAAGTAGCATAAGAAAGAAAATTACTACTTAAAATATTTTACTTAGTTAAATTTGATTATAATTTTGCAGTCATGATGATAATAAATACCGTTTTCCTATACCTTACAACTTTGGTTATTATCCACAAGAAAAGATATATCTTTAACCAATTTCTTTACTATACAAAATATGTACAATAAAAAGCTATTTAAAAATTGCTAATATCAACATAACGGAGACGTAGTTGTGATAAAAACGCCTGTCTTCGAATTATTAACCTATAGAGATATTTAATTTATTCAAAAAAAGGTTATTTACAAATTTGCTTAACTAATTCGTCGCTATATTCTTGTATTCATATTAGTGATATTAGAATACAGGCTTAAAGGACGTACGTTACAGTAATTAAACACCATTTTGTTTGACTTTATATTTTACGTAATTTTAAAGACTTAGTACTTTTACAAATTCGTAAATGTAGACGTTTGAAATATCTGTATTTATTCATAAAGTAACGTAAGTACTTATAAACATAATATTTTGAATTAAAGTGCAGCAGTTATAGGAGAAAACACTTGAATAAAGTGTAGTTTTGAAATGATTTCGTTAGATGGCGTTGGTGATTTCCTCCAATCAGCCTTTCTAATTAAATCGTAACTGTCTATGCATTTAAAGTCGGTATTATCTTAATTGAACATTTTTGCATTATGGAGGTCCTTTAAGAGTCTAAAGTATACGCAAGAGACAGTTTAAGCAAACTTTTAATTTGTTTTAGTAGTCGACGAAATTAATTAAGAGCCGTTAAGACTGCAGTCTGCGAAGCAAAATGGTCTCATTACGTTAAATATGCGATTTTAGAATTGAAATATATGTTCTTAATGAGTTTAGCTTGTTTATTTACTATGTAGTTTTAATATAATGACAAACTGAATAGTCGTTTTCCCCCATGGGGGCGAACACGGAAGACAATTGTGAGTCCGTTTTACTGATCGGTTTTACAGACTTTATTAGACTACTGTGCCCTATCCGGCCGAAACAAACTATTATTTCCTTAGAATTCTAACACAAGACCACGTTTAAGCCCTTGACTATAGACAGATTTTGAATATACCTACGGTTACATATATAAACATCAAATGAGATTTTAAAAAATATGACACGAGCGGAACTTGAACCTACGAAACAGGCGGGAGTTGAACGCAGCGTTCCGTGCTGCTGCCCTAACTACAGTTAATTGAGCAATAAATAAGCTTACATATGTAAATCTTATTGGCTGTATAAAATAAAAAAATGCATTCAATATTTATTAGAACATTCCAATTAACTGGCTAGTAACATTATATGACTTAAAATTCAATAATTACCAGTCAGGCTTTATGTTCACTTTATTCTTTTCTTTCAATCAATTAAACAGGTAATAATTCGTAATTTATAAAAACAATACTATTTACCTAAGAGTCGCTACCATTAACCGAAGAAAGTAGGTTCTCAATTCTTATATATTATACTTTTTATGTTTCTTCGAGCGTAACTTCGTTGGAAATAATCCAAAATGAAAAGTAGATATTTCCAAGCTGTTCGCTTTATATAAAAGACTAGACTATATTATTTTATAAAAATATTCATTTAATCATTTCTATTTGACATAATTACAATACTTATTACTTAGTGCTATGTATAATTTTTACTTTTCGGTTTTCTGTTTAAAACGGGGTATTTTTTTACTAAAGCGGATTTATAAGTAGACTTCTTAGGCAACAATCTAATAGATGTAGAAGTCTAATATACGTCTTTTTTGTTAGTTCTACGTGATGAATTCAGAAACGAACCTAGAGACGTGAAAGTAGCTAGTGGTGAACCAGCACTCCTTGAATGTGCTACTCCTAAAGGTGCACCAGAACCATCAGTGCATTGGGTCAAAGATGGACGAACTCTTGATGTTGATGTTAATGGAAGGTTTGAACATTATTAACATTATTTTTACAGGTTCTTAAATTAAAACAGTTTATTTAATTATAGAATTAAAAATAAAATACATTTAACGGTTTAGAACGCAAAATATATTAGGTATATTATTTTTAACTTATGTTACCAATGTCTGCTATGCTTGGGCCGTCTGTTCCATTGTAATTTGTGTTTGGAAAAACGGCGGGTTTGGGAATTTAAAACACTTCAACGTTTAAATAAAACGCTTTAACAGTTAAATTTGTTTGCAAAATAGCTTTGCAGCAGCCGTGGTCACGAGGAGACCAGGGGGGTGTCAACTAAAATATATCGCGTTTTAAACCGTTAAAATGTGTTTATTTAAATGTGTAATACTCGCGTTAACTGCAGACAGTATTTAACACTTTAACTTATATAGTCCAAGTCTTAAACCGAGGCTTAAAGGCGTTTTATTTTCAATGTCTACTACTCACGTAAACTATATAAAATTATTTTCAAACTTATGTACACATAGATTACCACTAAGAATCTTATAACGTAATAGTTTTTCCAAAGACATTCTTGCAATCTCACAATTTACTAATTGCTTAAGGAAATAAGTTAAGTGATACATGGAAACTTAGTATAATTAAGATGATAAACTTACATGGTATAAATATATAATCGAGTATAGTTGCTGAAGTTGACACTATTAGTTGTCTGAAAATATATTAGGTTTGTGTAAAGTTTATAGCGATTTCCTAATTATCTATAGAAATATAATTATAAATAAGTATTGGCACAAAATAGTTTAAATCTTAAACTCTAAAGACTTACTGAAATTATATTATATACTTATATCAGTCTGTTGTAGACCGAACGAGTTCAGGTTTACAAGAGACCTGATATAAACTGAGTAAGATACTAACAACTAGCAGCGCACAAAATGTTTTATACTATTATATATAAGATTAAATTTTTTTTTTTATATGTAAATCACAGTTGAACTTTGAAGTCTTATATGTTTTTGGGTGGCTTATGGTAGTAAATCATTTTGTCTCTTCTTCTTTTATAATATTCTAGGATAGCAATTGTCGACGGTGGCAATCTAAAGATAATAGAGAGTCTTCCATCCGATAGCGGAGTATACAAATGTGTGGCATCGAATGTAGCAGGCGAAAGACAATCCCGTCCTGCAACATTGCTCGTATTACGGAGACCACATTTTCTAGTGAAACCCAATAATATAACGGCACTGATTAACCAGAACGTTGAGTTTCATTGTCAAGTAAGTGAGTTATTCATGGTTACGGTTCGTTAAACTTTACGAGTGTCGTTTAGTTTTAATGCTTTTCAGTAGAGGTCACAAGGCTTTGTTGAAATTTAATTTTTGTGATAATTGCAAGCTTTGAGAGTTAAAAGTGTATTTAGGTCTGGACTTCTGCTTATAAACATTATAACACTACTATTAGAACTTTTGACATTATAATGTTCTTCTTAGTATCAGAATTTGAACACGTCCTTTATAATTAAAGAGGATTTATTTCAGATCTTTCTGAATAACAAAAACCTGCACTATATCAATAAAAATGCTTTACATTAAATATATACTTAATATGTCACTATGAGAAAGATTAAATTACCTATATATTTTAGGCGTCACCAGAATCAGACGTATCCGTAACATGGTCCCGTGATAAAGGTCCCTTGTCTCCATACGCAATAATACGTAGAGGTTCCTTAAGAATAGACAGAGTACTGTCTTCAGATGCTGGGACGTATACATGTCGAGCTGAGAGTCAAGCGGGAACGAGTGTCTCTAGTGCGACACTTACAGTGCATTGTAAGAAACCATTCCTTTGTTGTTCTAACAGATTCAGAAGTGTTCTCATATATGCTTGGTTTGCGTTGCATATCTTAGTTGAATTCTTGTTTTAGCTTTACCTCACTTTACGCGTGTGCCCTCGGATCAAACTGCTTGGGAAGGAGAGTCGATCTCATTTCTATGTGATGCTGATGGTTCGCCAAAGCCAGTTATATTCTGGACGATGGAGGGGTCTCAGGTGAATAATAGTTATGATGAGGTTACTATTGTAATTAGTATGGGAGAGATGATTAACGATTTGCTTGTATTAACGCAGGAAATAATATTTCCAAATTCAGTACACGCGTCAGGATCTCTTTATTTGGACCGGGTGTCAACGCAACACGCGGGTAGGTGGACATGCGTGGCCGTCAGTGCAGCAGGAAGTGCGTTGCATACAGTAACATTACAGGTGAGGGTTTATATGAGTGAGTATACAATTTTAATTAATAGTAAGCATTTGACAGTTATTTCAAGATTCAGCATCCGCCATTTGTTATAAAGTGCCTTCAAAATTTTTCGCCTCTATTTTGTGGTTCATATAAAAAAAGGGAATATCTCTATTTCCATACAAAACTAAGTATTAACTACTACTATTCGTCTTGCTAATGCAAGTTTAAAAGATTGCTGACTTATTGAACGTGGAATTTACTTTACATCGTTATCTTAGGTGTTAAGAAGAGAAGCCAATTCATTTAATGGAAACCTCGAGTCATCGTCTCCTTACCCCGACCTTAATAAACCTCAGAATCACCCGCCAATGACTCAATATGAATTAGTGCAAGCTCGTCGTTATTTGCAACAAGATGTTTTAGTGTTAAGAAGAGTAGAAGGAATATCGTCGACAACGCTTAAAATTGTTTGGGATGTAAGTTTATTAACTAAAATGCTATTTTACAACTATACTAATTATTACTAATGCATTTAGGTAACATTATCCGTTGAAAAAAAATACGATGATTGGTTTAAAAGCGAAATATATCAGTTAACCTATTTTTATTTACATCGGGCCCGAGTTAAAATAGATGTAAAATATTTCGCGTTTTAAATCCTAAAAATTGAATTTACTACAGCGTTAGCCATTGTAATTTTGTTGTAATTTTAAATAGATTGATATTATCTTTTTATCATAATTATTTTAAATTTTATAATATTAACTAATTTCATTAAACGCTCGAACGAATACATTTTATAAAACTGTCAATTGTCATTGTCCTGTCAGTTATAACAATTGACTCTTCTTGAATATAGAATATAGAGATATGAAGGGATATAAAAACACATTTACCCAAATATAGCCAAGTATATTTATTAATCAACTATAACCTTTGTAGGTTCTAACAGATTACAACGAATATTTAGAAGGTGTAAAGATATGGTTTAACGGTACCTCGTTAAACAAACAATACGCTGTCGAGTATGAAAATCAACCGACGAACGCTAGCATAGATAGTGTAGTAGAATTAACAAAACACGAGAATTTCACAATGACAACGATACACAACAGTGGGTCCTCGAGCCATGTACTTACAGGGTTGATACCTTATGCCAAGTATAACATATTTTTGATGCCGTTTTACAAATTATTACTTGGGAAACCGTCCAACATGAGGAGCGGTTTCACTGAGGAAGACAGTAAGTCTAGTTTTTAGATAGATTTACTAAACAAATAAAATATCTATCCAGAAGGTGAATTATGTATTTATTCGGTACATTTAAAAAAAGTGAAATTTTCAGTTCCGACCGCTCCGCCACATAGTGTAACAGCTGGTGTCATAAATTCTACGTCAGCATGGATTCGCTGGGACCCACCGCCTGTTTACGCGTGGAATGGAGAAATTACAGGATATTTGGTATGTATTATATTTTAATTTATAAATTGTTTTCTGCGAATTAAACACGTACGTTCTACACCATCGACTTGGAGTGTCTAGTTTTAACATAATTGTGGGTTAACTATTTTTAGTTAAAACGCTTTTACGGTTTTTTGTTTATTGGGTGTCTCTACAAGCAACACAACCTAATATGTATGATATAGATAAGAATAATTAAAATCAATCGAAGAATTAATTATTAAATTAATTTATCTGTGCTAGGGGCTATAAGGGTTATTTAAGGGTTTTCGATGCGTACACTGTGAGAACGGTTTAAGATACTAACCAAAATGTGTATAAAAGAATGATTCCTTTTTAAATGATGATAAAATGTCTTCGACAATATATGCCTATCTTTTAAGATTAACTTGCAACGATGGGGCGTGGGTAACGTCATGGTTAACAGTTTAAATTTATAGAGTCGAACAGAAGGTTTGCAGAAACAAATTTTGATGTCCAAAACAACGATTCTCGCGGACGAAGTCGTTGACACAGCTAGTTAAGTGATAAAATTCGTGTTTTAAACGTTTAATAGGTATTTTATATAGCTTGTGAACATTGTAAATCTAGATAGAGGTGAGGGTTGGCGGAAGCAACAATGGCCGCGTGGTAGGTCAAATGTCGCTCGGCGCACGAACCCGTGCTGCTGCAGCCAGTTCGTTGAGAGCTGGTGGAAGGTATGTTGCACGAGCAGCTGCAGTCACAAAGCGGGGCCACGGGCCCTTCAGTGCACCTGCGCAGATTCATATGTTGCCGACACAGTCGCAAAGGCATTACGTACAGTAAGTAAAAAGCTTATCATACTTTACAATTTGACACGCGTTTAATGTAGGATGGTAAGTTTTATAGTCCAGTATTAGATAGTATTTTTTTATAAATAATAAAAAGGAATATAAAGCTTTGTTAACGGGTAACATAAAATGTAGGCACAATACAGCGAACTGTAACTAATTTAATAGATTGCAAAAAAAAATCCATCGTCAAGTAAAGAGACGCAGTATATATTAAATAAACTACACGTAACGGCGTTGACTCTGTTTCTAGGGTGTTCCTTTAATCAATAAATAACTAGATAGATTTAAAATTATTTGTAAATCTATTCTCCAACTTTAATATTCACAGTACATACAATTTATTGTTGTAAACATCTGAGGTGTTTTAAATAAAGTTAATAAATAAATAAATAAATATTTCAAAACCATTTTTGAAAACGTTTCATCCTACATTAGACTATAAAAGAAGATCATTTAATTTCCCCGTTCTTAAATAATATTAATGTGTGTTACACTCCGTACAACTAAAACGATAGAGCTTAACGAATTTAATTTGTATACACAGGTAATGTAATGGGGCGAAACAAATCTACGGAAAACTATAGATAAATTTTAATAAGATTCAAATACCATCGCGTGATGTGTCTCCATTAATTATATAAGTAATTGTTTACATAAATTATTCTTCACCTAATAGATCGTTGTCGGAATACAAACAAAATGTAGATAATAATAATAGAGCTTGTAATTTCAGTACTCTAAGTAGCATTTATGATTTGTGATTAAATTTAAGTGTTATACATATGAAAAAACTTTTTGCAGGACGGAGCCAGCTAGAGACAAAGCAATTTTGTCTGTGTTCCAAGAAACTTGGCTACTTATTCTAAGTTTGATTTTATTGGCTATTATTCTAGTCGGAGCCGGTATTATAATTTATTTACGCCAAAAGCAATCAAAACAGCGAAAGAGCCACAATTCAGCAAGTTAGTTTTTTATATGAAACTCATTCTACATTTGAAAACGCACATTTCTCTAATACGGGACGTTCTTGACAGATACCCCAATTACAAATACGCAGCAATGTTTGCTCGGAAAAGAGGCCGTGTGGATGCGAGAAAGGCCTTTGTATGAGGCAAATGAGCCTCGAGTTGAAATGCTGAATTGTCATCAAAGTCTCTTACATGGTAACCCACATCAGAATATTAAAATTATATTTCTCATTTCGATTTGTTCATATATTATTCGCGTCTCTAGGTGGAAACTCAATCGGTACAATGACTATGGAAGCAGAATACAGTCTACCTCAGCATGCTAGTGCTAGAAATGAGATAATTTGCCAAGAAGATAAAAGAAAATACCCACCAGAAGCTTACGCGTCTAGTGCCATTTATAGCGAATTAAATAATTATCAGGTATACTTATTTACATAATAATTTTTAATGCTAGTTGACAAGTTACTAATACTGCCATATAATATATAGGATCACACGGATGCAGAAGATTCATGCATAAAATGCGCTGTCAGTCCAGGATCCTACGATAACAGCATGATTAGATCCTTTGCTGATAGTAATCAATATTCAGCTGAAGACTGTTCAACTTGCTGTAGAAGTAGCAGTAATAGTTCAACGTTAACTAAGGATTACAGCGATATGACCAAGTGTGGTAACGGTGATGATCAGGATCTATCCATTGAAGAATGTCCTTCGTGCAAAACAGCACAATCGAAATCTCCTAGTCAGCACGAAGCTAAAGCGTGGACAGCAATCGCTGACGTCGAATACGATTATCCTCAGTGGCAGTTGCTGGCTAGGGAAAATAGTTTCAGGCAAATATCTCAAGAGCCCAGATACGAAAGCCAAAGCAGAAGAAGCGAACAAAATTGTAGGATGAATTTGTGTGATATTTTACCTCCGCCGCCGTATGAGAGGTTAGTATAAATATAATTCTTGAATATATATAGTTATTTTTATATATAACGTGTATATTGATTTCAGGTATTCCATAAAGCTTTAAATTATTATATTAAAAATCCAGACAAAGTTTGTATGTAAATATCTTTTTCTGGAACGATTAGTATTACCATTTAGACATTTATTAGGCAATTTATTAATTAAATTCGATTATTATTTCCTAACTTTATACAGGGATTCTCCATATCGTGAGATGCATCCATACGGCAGCCAAACCGGTGCGTCCGGTTGTTCCGGTCACTCCTACAGGAGCTAACTTAATTCAATTATGGAAATATCACTAGGGTGTAATGAAAGCAATAATTAGCTTATCCAATTGAGTGTATATAAAATGTATATTAAAGTGTTAAACTGTTAAGACGTTTCACCGCTGCACAAAGCTAGTTTAGCTTGTTCTATGATCTCTGTTATTAATAGATTCTTTGGACTTTAGACTGCTCAAATATACTCGTGTTCTATATTATCAATAGTTAGATCCCTGTTAGTGAAGTTTATATTTGAAACCGGTTAAGGTGGTACTGATAATGCTCGATTTTCACAATCTTCATTTATTAACTGCCTTCAATGCAAAGACTCTTCAGTTTATTCTCCATCTATGGCAGTTGTTACACTCAGCATGATATTCATTAGATCACTAGACATCTTGTAATAAGTGAATTGTTCGTTTCTGAGAGCTTTTAACGCAAGATTATCATCAGTACCAACTTATGCTAATTCCACAATAGTTGTTTTTCCTGGCGGTGATGATGGTAACTAAGGGTTGTAGTCTTGTGGATGTGTTTACAAATAGACTGCTATTACGTAACGTAGTCTAGGTCTTTATCTCTCTAGTGACTGTGATATAGAATAATTTTGTAATCAAATTTTAATTTTGTATATACTTAGACATATTTGATATCCTTATACAATTTTAACTTTAAACTATTTATTATAATGTAGCGAAGTCGTTTTCGAATGAGAAACCAATTTCATGGTTACAAATTTTTCGATCACAGTTGTAGCGTTTTGTACTGAACTCAAATTCCTATATTTAAATAGTAATTTAATTTGTATATTCTGGTACGTCAGTCAACTTATTAAATGATAGTATATTTGAAATTATTTGTTTTATTTGTTACCAGCGTATATACTAAATATTAATGAAACTACAATTTCTGCCTTTAAAATACGTGTTACATTTACGCAATAACTCTTGTACTTTAAATTGCTGTTGGGATAAGCGAAAACATAACAATTAAAGCCTTAATCAGCTTTTCCCGTAAATAATCAAATACGTTTGTGTGGCCGTCACAACCTACGTACAACCTTAGGGCGTTGCCTTGGCGACCGGTCGGGTATTCGCCCTTATTGCACCCTTGTTATTAATATCTGTAATAATTAAACTTGATTGCATTTCGCACCAGGTGTTGGATGACGGTTCTTGTCAAGCGATGCTTTTGTAAGTTTTAATGGAGACGTTTTGAAGAGTCATTATGAATAATCCAATAAAACAGCGGTAGGTTAAGTTACTTTATTTAGGCGATTTGTACTTGCCTAATAATGGGGTAGCGTATACTTCAACGATACATTTAATTTGAGTGTATTTTCTATGTTAACACTAAATAAAAGGAATAAAAGAAAAATAAATTCCTAGATGGACATTGTATCTACTATTAAATGTAGTATAATATAGTAAGTGTTCCTCTAGAATCTTACAGTTTTCTTCCTCATTGTTTCAGCTTATTTAATCTTATTCCTTAAATAATCCTTAATTTGTAACCAAGGTCAAAACTAATCAATTAACCAGCCCTCGACGGCGGGGCGTGAATCGAATTCCCGGAATCGGGTTCCCTTTGATTTTTATTTTCTTTATTAATCAACACCCCACGTGATTTCAACGTAAAGAGCCCTTCGTCGCGCCGCTAAGTCGAGTGGCAACCTGACAGAGAAAAATTGAGAGAGATGCACTAAATTCATACCTTTATATACGCGTCGTATACGTTGCGAATAACATTATCACGATTTGTGAGTTTTGGTTAGATAGGAGAAATGATGGCACGAAATTTGAATAAGCTACCTATTGTGATATTGTATGTTTTTCATATATATCTTAGGAAATGAAATTTTAACCTAAATGAGAGCTGTACTTTGAATTGTAGATATAGATTCGGTCTTTTTATGGTGACCGATGGGCTCGTTGCTATTGTAGCTATATGTGGCTGATAATAATCAACGGGTCGTGAATTCGATTCCCACCTGGTCAAACATTTTTCTAATTAATTTAAATTTTTTTTTAGACTTTGTCTGGGAATCTGGAATTATATGGGTGTTAAGAGAAAGTCTGTTCGGGCCACTAACGGTCGTCGGTCGGTTAGATGCTATAGGCTAGGGTATTTTTTCTACCATCAAGCACACTCCATGTTTGTCTGTCCTTCTCTAACTTAAAGAAACATTTAAAGATTAGTGTTCCATTTTTGAAAACACAATATCTATAAAAACTTTTGTTACGCAGCGTTTCTGATGTTGATTTGTTACTTACGATGGCTATTAGTATTATAAATAATGCAACATGTAATTTTAAATACAGTAACTTTAAAGTAATCATTAACTTAATTACATTAACAAGTATAATCTCATTAAAGTACTAAAACTATATCTAAATGATAATCACAGAGCGAAGTCACGAATTTCGGAAAATAATTAAGAATAAAATTTCCCGTAAAATTACAAAAGCATCGAGGGTGCATGAATTATCCATTACACAGCGGCTGAAAGTACTTTTACGGCCATAATTCGTACTTGTTCCGAGTTCGGTATATTTATAACCGTAGATAAGGCCTACAGATGGCGGCTACAGAGTTTTCCTTCCCCTAATACTTGTTGAGTTATGGTTTCCAATTTCACCCTGCACTCAGGTACGCAATGTCTCCGGTGAGGTGGTGAGATATTGCTGGAATATGGTCTTGCGTGATTGATGGTGGTTTGACTTGGAACGTCTGCGCGACGCAATTCAAGATTTATAACTTCTTGTAACTTGAAATCGAAACGTTGAAATGTGCTACAGTTGTTAAATTAAGCGTTTTAACCCTTTTAAACAAATCACTTTAAACGGTTTAAACGCGATATATATTAATTAAAGTTATATAAAAATTATTTTTAATTACGGACGACGTTGTGGATGCTTTGAAGCAGCCGTGGTCACGGGGATACTCGTCGTTCTAACCCTTTCACGTTTAAGGGAAATATCTTCCCTTCTACAAAAATCGTTATCGATTATTCAATTATTATCGAATCGATATTTTTTTAATGAATGACAAAATGAAATAAAATTATAGGAAATCTATACATCCTGCTATTTTTTTCTAGTTTATTGACACTCTAAATATTGTGGTGTATTCGGATATTTAGTCTCCACATTATGGTGTTGTAAGCGTAAAAGGCTGTTAGATATTTTTCTGATATAAATATCAATTATATCTTTTTTGTTTTACTATTCCTAAGAGATCAGTATAACCTATGACTTAATGAGAGGTATTATTTACATACTTATATTTAATATTAAAACAGGCTTGTCAGTTCAAGTTGTGTATAGGTACTGCGGTAACACAAAATATAATCCGTTTTCCCATAGATACAGAACACATTTCATTCAGTTATGATAGAGATAAGACAGACACGCAAGGCAGTCACTCGATAAAAGGTAAGCAACATAATAACTAAGCAGAAGATGCGTCGACGACCTATTTTGCCTTTGGATATTCGGACATTATCAGACTGAAACTGAAACGCGACTAAAAATCAGGCTTTTTCATCTGTGGACGGTGATTTCTGACCCGGGTGTAATTTAGATAGTCCCACCGTTCATTTTATATTATGTAGATTTCCAACAAAGACTAGATGGGGATCGAATTCACGACACTTTTATTATATATGCATTGATACTAATTAGAGCAAGGAGCGTCATAGATTAAAAATAATCATGAAGCAGGTTTTAAACAAATGATTTATATAGTTATTAATGTTTACAATCATTGTTAGTAACTATTTATTCAAGTTTAATTCGAAACCATTAAAGTTTCGTTAAGGGGAGGGAATTATGATATCGGCGCCGGTGTAACGCGATGGGGGTCACGCGATACCTTGGTTTTGGTGATTTATATGGGGACATAAACCATGAGTCACAGACAGACAACGATGATCGATATACAGCGGGCGTTGGAGGCATTTCCGAGGCAGTGTATTTACAAGGATATATAAATGACCTATACTTCATTACATATTCGTTAACAATATAAATAACTATATACCGCTTACTAGCAGGGTGTTAAGCAAGAGAAGAGGTCTTAGATTCGAATCTCGGGGCTCGGTAAACAATACGGAAAACTAAATTTGATCTTTTTTAGATATTGATGTCATAGATTGCATGATAATTAATACATTTTGAAGTGCAAGAAATAAACATCAAAAATTAATAACTAACGTCTAATTAAAGTCATATACACATATCTCTCTCTCTCTCTATATATATTTATATATATATCTAGTTTCAATTATGCAACTGTTTATATAAAAATAACTTATAGAACTATACCACTCATACAGAATTTGATACTTAATTAAAACATTTTTGACGGCTACAACGATTTAAATACGACCCAATATTCAGAAAACCCTAAGACAGTGATATTCATGGTTTTTTTTAATCTCTTATTTTTTTATTTATTTTATTAATATTTAATAAGATACTATAACATTTTAACCCATTAAATAGTGTTTTATTTTATGAGCACCATTTGCGTAAAGTGTTTACGTAATCTCTATTTTACACTTAAAAGGAGAAATTAAAGGAAAAATATAGATATTCCTTGGTCAGTAGGTGCAGTTACACTTATAAATTATAATTATACTGCCACAGTATATTAGTCGTAAAATAGCAATGCTATCTGTTCAGAAACTGCAAAATTGCTACCTAGGATCCAGATTATAAATAGTATTTCTCAGCCACTGTTTATCCAATTAATACGTCCCTTACATTGATATTAGCAAATGTAAATTTCTTATCGCATATTGTCGATAACGAGCTGTCTTTAATGCGATTATAATTGCAAGCAAGTTATAACTAAGACATGACATAGTTCTCTAGTTAACATATATAAATTAACAAGTAATTTATTGTAAAGGTCATTTCGTTAAGTAAGATACACTTATCAACACTAATATTTTTCACCTGTTATTGCACATGATGGCTTATATTAATATAAACAACTCGAAACGCTG